GTGTGATACACAATTTCACAGAGGTGTCCTGAGAATCAAATAACGGTATCAAAAAACAATCACTTGACATGAAGTAAAGACTCAATAATAGTTAATTGAAATGGACTGGTTCAGTGAAGGGTTATTGGGGATCTCCCTCTCTACCCTGGGCTCTAAATTTCAACCACATTCCTAGATTGTTGTTTGTTGTTGTCTCCAACTTGTAGCAACCTTATGTACAACAGAATGAAACACTGCCTGGTCCTGTGTCAGCCTCACAATCCCTACTCTACCTGAGCCCATTGCTGCAGCCACCGTGTCAATCCACCTTGTTGAGGGCCTCCCCCCTCCTTCATTAACCCTCCACTTTACCAAGCATGACATCCTTCTCCAGAGAATGGTCCCTTCTGACTACATGACCAAAGTAAGTGAGATGAAGTCTGACCTTGCTTCCAAGGACCATTTTGGCTGCACTTCCTCCAGGACAGATTTGTTAGTTCTTATAGCAGACCATGGTACTTTCAGTATTCTTCACCAACACCACAACTCAAAAGCATCAATTCTTCTTCGATCTTCCTTCTTCATTGTCCAGCTCTCACATGCATAGGAATATAATATTTCTCATAACATAAATGCTCCATGTTCAAACAGTTCTCCAATTCTGTTTTCTTCTCCCAAGGCCTTGTTGTTAGCTGCTATCTTGGTTCTGTAGTGTTGCTGTAACAGAAATACTACAAGCGGACGATTTTAACAAACCGGCACTTTTCTCTTACAGTTTGTTGTTGTTGTTATGGGCCGTCAAGTCAGACCTGACTCATAGAGACCCCTCTTTGGGTTTCCGAGGCAGTAACACTATGGAAGGAGATTGCCCCTTCTTCCTTCCAAGGAGTGGCTGGTGGGTTTGAACCACCAGCCTTCTGGTTAGCAGTCAAATGCCTTAGGCGCTACGCCACCAGAGCTCCCCTCTTACAGTTTAGGAGGCTAGAAGTCTGAATTCAGAGTGCAAGTTCTAGGAGCTCTGTGAAGGCCCCTCCCACATTGAGCTTCAGCTCTGCCTCTAGTTCCAGGTCCACTGGAACTGGAGGCTTCTTTCTGACTCATGCAGGTACTGGCTGCTGAGGCTGACAAACCCAAGGTCCACAAGTACAATGGTGCAATCTCAAGACCGGCAAGCAAAAAAGCAGGCCTGGTTTAAGCCCAGGAACAATCCCAAGATCAGCAGACAACATGGTAGTCCACTGGTTCAAGTTTAGGAACTGGAGACAAAGACTCAGTCATATGAGGGATCCAAAATGTGCCAACAAGCTAGAGACCTTCCTCAAAGCTTCCCCACACATACTGAGAGCAGGTGACATCCCGAAGGCAACTAATTAGCTGCTCACAGCAGATTCCACCATGGAGTTTATCATTTGATTTCACCATGTGGAATAATTGCATCCAGCTGCCCAGTCACTCAAAACCATATCCCAGCTAAGTTGACACACAACCTTAACTACCATAGCTGGTGTTAGATGCTCCCAACTCATGGTGACATACAAAATTCTGCCCAGACTTGTACTGTCCCCATGATCGGTTGTGGGTTAGACCACTGTGATCTATAGAGTTTTCACTGGCTGATTTTGAGATGTTTCAACAAACGGATGCCCCTCTAGAGGCACTGGCCAAGAGATTTGGAAGACAGCTACCTGGCCAACTGACTGGAAGAGGTCCATGTTTGTACCCATTCCAAAGAAAAGTGATCCCACAGAATGTGGAAATTATCAAACAATATCATTGATATTACACACAAATAAAATCTTACTGAAGATAATTCAAAAACAGTTGTAGCAGTATATTGACAGAGAACGTCCAGAAATGCAAGCTGGATTCAGAAGGGGATGTAGAGCAAGGGATGTCATAGCTGATGTTAGATGGATCTTGGCTCAAAGCAAAGAATACCAGAAAGATGTTTATTTTGCTTTATTGACTATGCAAAGGTGTTCTATTTTATGGATGATAATAAATTATAGATAACATTGAAAAGAATGGGAATTCCAGAACACTTAATTGTACTCACAAGGAACCCGTACATAATCCAAGAGGCTGTCATTAGAACAGAACAAGGGGATACTGCCTGGTTTAAAATCAGGAAGAGAGTGTATCAGGGTTGTATCCTTTCACCGTACTTATTCAACCTGTAGCTGAGCAAATAATCCAAGAAGCTGGACTATATGAAGAAGAACATGGCATTAGGATTGGGGGAAGGCTCATTAGTTACCAGAGATATGTAGACAACACAACTTCGCTTGATGAAAGTAAGGATGACTTGGAGCACTTACTGATGAAGATTAAAGACTACTGTCTAGAGTATGGATTATACCTCAAAATAAAGAAAACAAAAATCCTCACAACTGGACCAATAAGCAGCATCATGATAGATGGAGAAAAGACTGAAGTAGTCAAAGACTTCATATTACAAGCCAGGCTTGGTTAGGTGCATCTTAGTCTTCAAGGAGATATCTTTGCTCTTCATCACTTGAAAGAGGTCTTTTGTAACAGATTTGCCCAAAGCAATATGTCTTTTTTTTTTTTCATTCTTTTATTATTGAACTGTAGAAATTCTTTATATAGGCTAAATACCTTCTTTGTCAAATGTTTTCTTCCAGACTTTGATGACTTGCCTATATATTTTCTTAGAGATTTTTTTTTTTTAATTTATTGTGATTTGGGTGAAGATTTACAGAGCAAATTCACTTTCCATACAGCAGTTCACATATACTTTGTCTCATGTCATTGACCACAGTTTACCACAATGCAACAGCTCCCCTCTCACTTCCTCCCCATAGTTACCTTTTCCCAGTGTCCATCCCTCCATACTCTCCTGCACCCTGGGCTGTCTCCCTGTGCATAAGCAGCCCTTCCTTCTCCCATGATTGTTCTCTCCAGGGCATGTGTCTACTTGAGGTAAATGTTTAACTCACATGCCTGTGTACATTGTTTGGCTGGCAACCACAGGTGTGGGTTCAATTCCAGACCTGAAGGGTAGCTAGGGGCCATAGTCTCAGTGGTTCCACCAGGCTCTATTGGACCAGCAAACCTGGTCCTCACCTTCTTCTTCTTTTTTTTTTTTTGCCTCCAAATGATTTTGAGTTTTGTTCCACATTGTTCTCCCTCTCTATGCAGGATCTCGTACATCCCTTCCAAGTGGATGACAGTGGTAGCCGGGCACCATCTAGTTCTGGTCTCATAGTTGTATAGGTTGCAGATCAGATGGTGTACCCATTGCTAGGACTGATTGTTTCCATTAATTTTGGTTTTCTTCTTTCTTCTTTGCTCTTGATGAGGAGAGACCCATTGTTGCATCTAGATGGCAGCTTGCTAGCTTTTAAGATCCTAGTCGCTACTTGCCAAAGTAGAAGGTGGAACAATGTTTTGTATAGTGTGTTATGCCAATTGAGCTTGGTGTCCCCTGCAACTATGGTCCCAAGCCCACAGGTTCAACTACTCAGTCGCTCTGGGTAGCTGGCTGTGACCAAACAGTGACCACAACCTCCAAAGCAATATGTCTTTTGATGTCTTGACTGCTTCCATTGGTGTTGACTGTAGAACCAAGTAATATGAAGTCTTTGACAACTTCCATCTTTTTTCCAAATGATAGTTTAGCTTAATTTGTAAAGAAGGTTTGCCTGGATATTGTGCTTTTAAAAAAGAATTATCTATGCACACTCAGTTTTCACAAGGAGCTCTGGCTGTGCTGTTGTTAATGTACTGGGCTGCTAACTAAAATGTTGGGAGTGGAACCTCCTGGCCATTCCCCAGGGAGAAAGATGAGGCAGTCTGCTTTCATAAAGATTTACAGCCTTGTAAAACCTCTGGGCACAGTTCTAGTTTGTCCTCTAGGGTCAGTATGAGTCAGAATCTGCTATGGCAGGGGGTTTTTAATCAGTTTTGACAAATAGAAAGCTCAAAGGCCTAGCAGTTCTGTTTTAGGGTCCATCAGTAATTAATTTTTCTTCAAGGCAATACTGTAGGAATCCTGCATAACCATAAATTGTGTTATCAGTTCTGTTCCAGCTTTTTCTCCCCATGGCGATGTATAGTTCACTAGTGATAAGATGGAATATAGAAAAATCTTTGGAACATTCTTGACTCTCTAGTCAGAAGTGTTGCCAGATTTGCAAATAGCATATTGAATAAACTTCAAAACAGTGTCTATTATTGGCTAAACATTATTTTTATTTTAACAATAGCAACACACCAGCCTCCACTGACAGAGGAGTTGTGGCTGCTATGAATCAAACTCAGGTCTCTTAAGTGGAGACCTTTCACCACTGAACCACCACTGCCCCCTAGTGTCTTGTAGGAAACGTTTATATCGGCGATAGGTTTGGTCTGGGTACGTTCCCCAAATGTTGGAAGGCTGACATTATTGGAAAAATTAGCGCATACCAACCACGGGTGGGGGTCCTAACACTGCAATGCCCTTTTTTAAAAACGGAGAAACTCGGAGTCACAGGGCCTCAGTAACGTGCCCAGGGTCATCGTTCGTGAACGACAGGAGCTGAGATGACACCCACGACCACGGGCGCCCGCGGGCCGTACACAAAAGGCTATAAATGCTTGAAGCTTTGGTGGCGTAGTGCCTAAGGCTTTGACTGCTAACCAGAAGGCTGGCGGTTCAAGCCCACCAGCCCGTCCTCTGAAGGAAGATTGGGCAATCTACTTCCCTAGTGACACCGCCTAGGAAACCCAAGGAAGGGTCTTTATGAGTCGGGTCCGACTCGATGGCAGTGAGTGTGAATTATAAATGCGTAGGTTTGAGGGCCCAGAGGTACTTGGCCTGACTAGGAACCCCCACTAGCTATAGCATGCCCCGCCCCGCCCTTCTGTGGACCCTGAATTGGTAGAGCAGTACAGCACCGGAAGCACGCGGATCCCATCAGCAGCGGCTCTTGTTTCCAGAGGGGACGAGAGCGTGAAGGACTAGCTTCCGGCAAGCTCTGTCGCGTCTTTTCGCGCGGCTGTGGGTCTCCGCCGGGGAAATGGGGAAAGTGAGGGAGCTTCGGTCCCGGGTGCACCGGGCGGCAGTGAGGCCCAACGAGGAGGCTGCACCTGGGACCGTGACCCCTGCCCAGGAGCCGTCTCTGTCACAGCCATCCAGCGGCGGTGCGGGAAGAAAGGTAAGGTCGGTACCAGGCGGGCAACGAGTGGGACCCTCCGGCGGTGTGGGCCGAGGGGCGCCTGGAGCCCAGGACTCTAGTGCTCAGCGGGCGGCCCACGGAGGGGCGAGAGTCTTGGTGCAGACTCCGGAAGCGCTGGGGCTTGGACGAGGAGCGGCCACCCTCCGCCACTCCCAGAAAGCCTTCCACAGCAAAGTCTGGGAATGTCTCGTGAAAAATGGCAAAAATTCCTTTGTAGCTGAGGTCCCAAGGAACGGAAGGAAACTCCCAGGGTTAAAGAAAAAATGAAGAGAAAACTGAAAATGGGAAAGATACCTCTTACCCTTTAGCTATCATCCCCCTACCACCTCAGCCCTAATCAACCAGCGGTCTACTTTCAGTCTCTAGAAATTTCCCTGTTCTGGATATTTCATATGAATGAAATCATACAATATGTGGCTTTTTGTTCTTGGCTTCTTTCATTTAGCATATTTTCAAGTTTACTTTGTTAGTTGTTAGCTGCTGTCAAGTGGATTCTGACTGCTGGGCCACTCCGTTATTTGAGTAGAACTGTGCTCCATAGGGTTTTCAAGGCTGTGATTCTTCCATGGTGGCTCTGAGTGGGTTAGAACTGCCTCCTCCAACCCACCCGGGCTAGTTGTCCAGCTTTTAACCCCCATTTTTAACCGTTTGTTCCAACCAGGGACTCCCATTAACCTTGTTCTTAGTTGCCTTTGAATCAGTTGACTCATGGAGAACCCTTGCGTAGGGTTTTCAAAAGTGATCGTTTGGAAACAGATCGACTGACATGCGTTCTGAGGTGCCTCTGGGTGGATTTGAACCATCAACCCTTCAGCAAGTGGATTGATGGGCTTAACTGTTTGCACCATCCAGGGACTCCTATTAGGCTGTATGGAGATAACACCTTGCCCCTATTAGAATGACAATTGGGGAAAAAAAAAGTAGCGCATATCAATACTTTATTCCTTTTAATGGCTGAATAATATTCCACTGTATTGATGGATGTATTTTATCCATCTGATGATGGGCATGTAGTTTTTTCCCACTTTTTGGTTATTGTGAATAACACTACAATGAACATTCATGTATACATTTTTCTGTAGACATATAGAGTGAAATTGCTGTGTCATATGAAAGTTCTATGTTTAACTTACTGAGGATCTGTCAAACTGCTTTCCACAGAGGCCACACCATTCTACATTCTCACCAGCAATGTCTCGGGGTTCCTGATGTATCAAGGTTTGAGGTTGCCAACAAAAGACTGACAATACGTGGAAGAACACATTACTCACATAGAGGAGGGAGAGAGCAAAATCAGCTCCAAATGTGGACAGTGGTCTCCCATTGCCACTAAGTGCCCCCTCGCAGCTGGTGCAAGGCAGCTAGCTGTTCCATGCTCACCCTTCTTGTGCCACAGGTGAGGAAAACCTTGTTCCTTTCCCACTGGAAACAGATATAGAAGTGGAGTTGGCCAGGTGCTATATGGTCCCCACACATGAGCAAGACAGAGAAAGTTACTGCAAGCCCCAAACAAAGAGGAAGTCTTCTATAAGGAGAAGAGAGAGACCCAGTTCCTGTCATCTTTATCAGAGAAATGTTCTGGGCTCAAGGCCTCTGTTTAGGCGACCCAGATTGGAAATGCACAGGCAGACTGTCCTCCCAGCAGTCCATCCCCCCTCCCATCAAGGTGCCAGAAGAAAGAAGTAAAGTGCTCACAAGTCTTGGTATACCTGTTATCCATTTCAGACACTCAACGGCATGTCTGTGGCATGGTGTACAGCTTTGATAGGAGTTATGTGTGTGAACCATTTGCTTAATGTTTTTAGGCAGCATTTAATGAGGGTTACTTGCAGGACAGGAGCCCTGGTGGTACAGTTATTAAGTGCTTGGCTACAAACTGAAAGATCAGTGGTTTTAACCCACCAGCAGCTCCATAAGAGAATAGACATGTCAGTCTACTCCTGTAAAAATTACAGTCTAGGAAACGCTATACCAAAAGCAAACCAAACCCACTGCTGTCAAGTTGGATCTAACTCATAGCAACCTCTCCTTGGGTTTCTGAGGCAGTATCACTATGGAAGTAGATTGCCCAACCTTCCTTCCGAGGAGTGGCTGGTGGGTTTCAACCGTCAGCCTTCTGGTTAGCAGTCAGATGCCTTAGGCACTATGCTATGGGAGCTCCCAGTAAACTCTGTAGGGCAGTTCTGTTCTATTATATAGAGTCACTCTGAGTAAGAATTGATGGCACAGAACAACAGCAATTAGTACTGTTCCCCAGCAGGATGATCAGGCTTGCTTGGGGGACAGATTATAACTAGCCACCTCAGTCATTGCTTAATCCAAGCCAATTGAGTAGATCAAAGGGCTGTATTTGTCTAATTTTATAGAGAATTTCAACTGCTTCTTTTATGTTATTTATTTATTCATAACATATACTGATTCAATTATATAAAAATAGCATATTTCTCCCAATTTAGCACATTATATGAATAGTAGGAGCTCTGGTAGCATAGTGCCTAAGGCACTTGACTGCTAACCAGCAGGTTGGCAGTTCAAACCTACTAGCCACTCCAAGGAAGGAAGATGGGGCAATCTATTTCCGTAGTGATACTGCCTCGGAAACCCAAGGGGGGTTGCTATGAGTCAGGTCCGACTCAACGGCACATAACAACAAACAACAACAACAATGAATAGTATATGTTCTGATTTATAATGTTTTCAGAAGTGGATGGCCTCATCCTTCTTCCCAATCTTCTTCCCAGTTCTTTAAAGTGTTGGGGAGCAAAGATGTCACTTTGAAGACTAAGGTGCACCTAACCCAAGCCATGGTATTTTCATTTGGCTCTTATGCATGCGAGAGCTGAACCATGAATAAGGAAGACCAAAGAAGAATTGATGTTTTTGAGTTGTGGTGTTGGAGAAGAATGCTAAGAGTACCATGGTCTGGTAAAAGGACTAACAAATCTATCCTGGAAGAAGTGCAGCCAGTGTAACACTGAGCTTTTATTTTGGCATAGGATCTTTGGTCTGACTTCCTTTCCCTCTCTGGTGGCAGAGGGATATCAGTTTAAATTCTCACTCACTCACTGCCTTCAAGTCAGATCCGACTCATAGGGACCCCTCCTTGGGTTTCCCAGGCAGTATCACTTTGCTTGCTGAAAGTGAGGATGACTTGAGGTACTTACTGACGAAGATTGAAGAATACAGTCTGCAGTATGGATTACATCTCAATATAAAGAAAGCAAAAATCCTCACAACTGGACCTATAAGCAGCATCACAATAAATGGAGAAAAGATTGAGGTTGTCAAAGAATTCACATTGCTTGGTTCTACAATCAATGCCAATGGAAGCAGCAGTCAGGACATTAGATGACGTATAGCACTGGGCAACTCGGCTGCAAAGGACCTCTTTCAAGTGCTGAGAAGCAGATGTCTCCTTGAGGACCAAGGTGCAACGATGGGCTCAAGTACAGCAAGGATCATGAAGCTTGCATTGGATTGGGGGGTGTTTTGTTCTGCTGTGCATAGGGTTGCTATGAGTCAGAAATGATTTGACGGCACCTAACAACAGCAACAACATCACTACGGAAGTAGATTGCCCTAATCTTCCTTCCAAGGAGTGACTGGTGGGTTTGAACCGACATTCTTCTGGTTAGCAGTCAAATGCTTTAGGCACTACACCACCAGAGCTCCCAGGTTAAATTCTAGTATTGTTTATTTCTGAAAGTCAGGAGGTCTGGGCAAAAGTTGGTAGGACCCTTTTTTTCCCTCCCTAGGAGAGAACAGAACATCTCAATCATAGGGCCAACACCTTGTGATCCACCACACCATAGCCACTGAGGGCTACTTGCTGGGATTTGGCTGTAGGCTTTCAGGGCCAAGGGAGCAGAGAACCAGGTGGCTCAGTGCAAGTTGGTTTAAACAGGTCCTGGGCTTCTCCAAGGAGGGGTTGGCACTGGGAAAGGCTACAGCTGCACAGGGCAGACACCCCTCTTGCCCATCCTTTCTCATGTTGCTCCTTCTGTATTGGTCAGTCTTTGATGGTGGAGATGCCACCACCCTTGTGTGTGTCATCATTCATTTGTGGAACCATGCCTCTATATCAAGTGTGAACAGCATGGGTCCCACCTGATTGCCAGATGTGGAAGTGACCTCTCCAATTTTACCTTCTTCATCCCCTTACTTACTATAGTAACTATGACACTATGTTGCTCCTTGGTTTTCTTGGTGGGGCAGTTATCAGAACATTTTAGAGAGGGCCTCTAAGTTCTCTTCAAGGCCATTCAACAAAAGCTATCTTAAAGGGCTTTTTGCTCTCTTTTTCTTTCTTTGCAGTTTTAATTCTTGTTTTGCTCTAGGTGTTACAGGGTGTTTTCAACACCGGGGACCTAGCTTATTGGAGCCCCTCCAATCATCTCCACTCCCATTGTTGGAGGTCTCTGACAGTAGTTGGGGAATTACTCCCTTAACTCTTGAATCCTTCTGTTTCAGTAACCAAGACTACATCACTTTGCGAGTTGATCCTGCTCCTTTCTTTGCCATCTAGTCTTTCAGATATGTTTAGGCCTCTGCTGGTAGAAAGTGCTGACACTACCTTGCTATTTCCATGCAAAAGTGGGACTTTACTATGAAGGTTTCCCCCATGATAGCAAGAGACAACAAAAAAGGGAGTAGGGTCTCCATTGAGGAGGGCTTCCAGTGCCATCCAAGACAGAACACTGTCATCACCATCTGATGTGGTGGCAGAATCATGAAGCCTGGTGTCTATGGCTTTTACCCAGAGTGGCATGATGACTTTATAAATAGTTTGGAACACGGTTCTTATGCTTTCAGCATTCCAAACCAAGAGCAGTTGTAAAGCTGTGTCATTAAACAAAGGTTATCAGTCAGGTTGTGGGAGACTTCCCTGGCTTCTGCTCCTATCATTGTTCAGCTTTCTTACCTCTCACTTTTAGAAAAAGACCTCATCTCAACAGTTTCATTTTCAACAACACCAAGTG